AAGGGTTTGGTCTGCCAGGAAGCTAATACAGCCAATGCAGACGGCTGCAGTGTGGGAAGCAAGGGGAAAAGTGGTACAAAGTAAAGCTGGAGAAGTTAGTAGTATCGCACAGGCTCCTAGACTATACACTAAGAGCGATGGAAGACCATTAAGTGGTTCTGACCAGGGAAGTGATATATTCTGATTTACACTTTAGAAAGATTATTCTGCCTGCCATGGAACAAATGATTTAGAGGTACCACAAGGAAGAGTAAACAGAGCAATCAGGAGCTACTGTAATAATAGGGAGGTGAGGCACAATGCCAGGTGCTGGGAGTTTAAGTTCTCACCTTGGTCAAGTAGTCGTGGATATTGAGAGTAGCCAGCTTGGTAAGGTGCCCATTCAGACCCAGGGCCATGAGAAAGCCAGCATACTCATTGGCTAACTCGGCATGCTTGGGCTTATTGTAAACAATCCAAGCCGAGTCAATCTGGGAGGCAGGGGCTATCTTCAGGCCAGCAGCCACACCATTATGGAAGCTGGCCCAGCTTGTCATGTTGGGAGGCACATCAATGTTTCCACTATTAAGGTCAACTGTTGTGTTCCGAGGAGGGGCACGCCCTATCCAGGCAAACAAAATTTAACATTGAGAGAAAAAAAATTCACAAAACCAAAATTGTTAAATTTAGATCTTTAAGAACAAGATTACCTTTTCTACACTCAAAACTCTAAACCCCCATAATACCTAGAATGATGTGAGGTCTCTACAACCGCTTAAACTTTTATACATGTGAGTCAAACTTAATTTAAGGTGGAAAAACCCTTCATTGTTTGAAACAGTTCATGTCCTTTTTGCTAAAATAAAATGCATGGGGCTATTATTGAGATAATTGATACCCATTTAACTTTATACACATCTGATTAGGATACTCACTGCTTTGAAATTTTTCTTTCAAACAGCAGAGAGATTAATAAGAAACCAAAATGAAGACTAATATCATAGTTAAACTGTATGAATAATAAATTCCAACATCTGATTGATGACATTGATGTTAATTTCAAATAGTCTATCCTACATTTTTCTCTGGACATAATGGAAAAATGACATTTTAGAGTCAATGACATTTATAAATCTATCTCTATCTCTTATCTATATAAGGCAATCTTTCTCTCTCTCTCTATATATATAGATAGATAGCTAATTATATGCTATTGTTTAAAACAGCAAATTGCATATAGAGATAGCTATATAGAAAGCATCCTTTCATAGA